ATAACATAATGAGAACATGCCACTTATTTCCATGGATTACCATTTTATAGAGACAGAGTGAGTCACACTCACACACAAAGAGTTTATTTAGTCCACTAATCAGAAACTTTATATTCTAAATCATAAAGGAAGACAAATTCCTCCTAATATGCACATTAATCTGAAGGGGTTAAATAAATAAGACCATAAGGCCTTCTGGATGAGAACCTTCCTATCTTTGTGTATAACTCGCAGTGCTGGGTTTGACCTATGAACAGACTTCTTCAGAGAAACAAGCTTCTGTGGGAGAATCAAGTTTCATTTTCTTTATCATCATTTGGCATCTAATGAAATTCCCATGTACTCCTAAAACTCGAGGGCAGTGGTGCTCAAACATTTACTGGCACGGTTCATATCAAAAGTTTAAACAACGTAATGCCCCATATCACTGTGTGCAAATTTCAACCAGTGAAACAAAATCCGAGATGATTTTCAGTGAAATGAATCGGCAGAAAACCAAGAGCGCAGGAGTAAACTCTTTCAGGCATCTTTTTTCAACCATCCTTGCTTAATTAATCCAAATTTTTTCCCTGGTTGTTCACACCTGCACTGACTCATAGTCAGAGTTTAAACGGTCGTAGATGTTATTTATCTTCATTAGAGGGAATCAGTGAGAACTGCAGGAGGCTCCATCATAGGTGCAGACTGAATGTTGATCAGCACTCCAAGAACTGGAGGAGGTGTGCGTTAGTTGACTTTGCTAAGACGGAGCGATATCGACCTCTGATACACAAAATCTGTCTGTGTATCAAACCTCAGCTGAGCAGTTATTACCACAGATCAATACCACATGAGCCCAAAAGCCAGTAACTGATTTCCAACCAACTGGAGGAATCGGTCCGCCAGGACCTCCACTCCTGGCCGCCGCCCAACTCACATTGCACCCGACCTCTACGGTGCCTCCTGTGGGTGGTGGGCCTGCAGGAAGATGGGCCCATATCCCTCCCCAGCCGGGCCCCATGAACGAAGGCCCGGCCAGCCGGAAAAGGGTGGAGTGCCCACTCCGGGTCAGGGACGAGACCCTGCCCCAGGTGGAGGAGTTTAAGTATCTCGGGGTCTTGTTCATAAGTGATGGGAGAAGGGAGCGGGAGATCGACAGACGGATTGGTACCGGTCTGTTGTGGTGAAGAGTGTAAAAGCAAAGCTCTCAATTTACCGGTCGATCTACGTCCCTACCATCACCTATGGTCACGAGCTGTGGGTAGTGACCGAAAGAACGAGATTGCGAATACAAGCGGTGGAAATGAGCTTCCTCTGAAGGGTGGCTGGCCTCTCCCTTAGAGATAGGGTGAGAAGTTC